CATGGGGGGGCGGTGCTGAGGGAACCTGAGGGCTAGAAAAAGGACTGGACCATAAGTAACAATGGCTGGCCCTGGCCGGGGAGCTCAGCTGGTTGGAGCGTGGTCCCTACACCAAGGTTTGGGGTTTGATCCCTGGTCAGGGCACACACAAGAAGTAACCAACGAGCCCTGGCTGGTTTGGTTCAGTGGATAGAGCACCAGCCTGCGGACTGAAGGGTCCCAGGTTCGATTCTGGCCAAGGGCACATGCCGGGGTTGCCAGCTCAGGCTCGATCCCCAGTAGGGGGCGTGCAGGAGGCAGCCAATCAATGATTCTTTCTCATCACTGATGTTTCTCTCCCTCTCCCTTCCTCTCTGGAATCAATATTATATATATGTAACCAATGAGTGCATCAGTAAGTGGAACAACAAATCGATGTTTCTCTCTCCCCCTCCCCCCCTCAAATCAATAAATTAAAAAATTTAGTGACAATAAAGTAACAATGGTCCTGGGCTATCAGCCTCCCCCCATCTTCCTGACCACGCCCACCTCCCCAGTCCCAGCAGCACCCCTGGACCGGGAGCAGGGGACCACCCAGCAGCTGACTCTGACCCCACTCTCCCCTCTCAGTGCACGAGCTGGGGGCGAGGGCGAGGGTGAGGCCGCCGTGGGAGTGCGGGGCGCCTGGCCCCCGGCGGCCAGCAGCTGTGGAGACAGCCACAGGGGTGGCTTTGTCTCCTGGTGGCCATGGTCCCAGTGGGAGGGTGTGTTACCTCTTGGCGGGGCAGCAGGCAGACAGTCATTTGTGGCCTCAAAGGACCTGGCGGTCAGCCTTTGTGGGTGGCCTCACCTGCCCCGGAAGGAGAGGTGCACGGGGCACTGTCTTTCCTCTCACCGCCTCCCCGTCGCCCCAGGGAGCTGGCCAGGCCTGCCTCTCCCCAGGGGACTTCCATCAGAGGGACGGTGAGGCTAAGATGAGACCCAAAGGAGTGTCCTGGGGTCACAGAAGTGGGGGGGAAGCCAAACTGGGGTGCACAAGCCTGCTCCAGGGGTCGTGCTCCCACCAGGCCCCCCATGGCTTCCAGAATAGAGGCCACTCCCCTTGGTGGGGTGCACCCGGGCTCAGGAGGCCTAGGAGCTTGTTGGGGGAGGGGGCCAGGGCTTCATGGAAGGGGGTGAGGGACAGAGGACTTGGGGGCATGGGGGGGCGGTGCTGAGGGAACCTGAGGGCTAGAAAAAGGACTGGACCATAAGTAACAATGGCTGGCCCTGGCCGGGGAGCTCAGCTGGTTGGAGCGTGGTCCCTACACCAAGGTTTGGGGTTTGATCCCTGGTCAGGGCACACACAAGAAGTAACCAACGAGCCCTGGCTGGTTTGGTTCAGTGGATAGAGCACCAGCCTGCGGACTGAAGGGTCCCAGGTTCGATTCTGGCCAAGGGCACATGCCGGGGTTGCCAGCTCAGGCTCGATCCCCAGTAGGGGGCGTGCAGGAGGCAGCCAATCAATGATTCTTTCTCATCACTGATGTTTCTCTCCCTCTCCCTTCCTCTCTGGAATCAATATTATATATATGTAACCAATGAGTGCATCAGTAAGTGGAACAACAAATCGATGTTTCTCTCTCCCCCTCCCCCCCTCAAATCAATAAATTAAAAAATTTAGTGACAATAAAGTAACAATGGGCCCGGGCCATCGGCCTCCCCGCATCTTCCTGACCACGCCCACCCCCCCAGTCCCAGCAGCACCCCTGGACCGGGAGCAGGGGACCGCCCAGCAGCTGACTCTGACCCCGCTCTCCCCTCTCAGTGC